CTTTTTCAGTTTTTCCGACGACAGGTTGTACTGCACTAGAAAAAATGACTATGCCACTCCTTCAATAAAAAATATTAATTAATATTTCTTCCTATGCGAACAACATAAATATCGATTAGTAGTATTCTAACTCAATTTCTGTCTGGTCCTGTTTGGTGAAGAACAGATCCATTCAATAGTACAACTGATCTAAAGATCAATGCTTTATTTGTCAGGGGATATTTAGCTTGAATTATCAGTATTTCTTAGAGATATTTATAATTCTCAAAATTAGCGCTATTTTTTCGCGATTTTCGACTGTTGCGGATTCCCTCTGATTAGTGATGATTAGGCATTCAACAGTTTCGGTTAACGGATAACTGATATAACTGAAACCCATCATAACCGATAACCTTTAAACCGGAGCATCGCGTGGCTATAACAATCTTTTTTGTTGTAATAACAATTCTTTGCTCAGGCCATGTGACATACGGCTCGTAGAAAATATTTGTTTTAAAAGAATTTATTTCAATCATGCGGTCATTTTTTGTACTCAGTATTTTTCACAAAAGTTTAAGGAAGAAAAGTTATTTTAAAATAAATAAAATTTTTCAAAAAATAAAAGTTCCCTAATGAGAAACTTACTCGAATCTTACTAAGATCTTAGAATAATCTTATTAAGATCTTAATAAGATTTCGCTTACATTTGTCAAAGATCTTAGATAAATCTTACTAAGATCGTGAGACCCGAAAATTTTAAGATTTTGCTAAAATCTTACTAAGATTACACTACTAAGATTTTTCAAGATTGGGTAAGAATCTGTTAGGAACCTGACCTGAAGAACCCGACGCATTTTTAAGTCTGACGTTTTATCCGTTCTAATCTGACAGTTAAAACGCCAGGTCAATATGAAACGTTCAAACCTGACGTTTTTGTACCCAAACGGTTAAAACGTCATGTTGACGTGGCGTTTTAACCGTTCGGTTACAAAAATGTCAGGTTTGAACGTTTCAAACCTTTCTATGATTTTGTATTGGGGAATGAAATAGCCAGTGGACAGGGTTTGAGTTAGAAAAGGCACACTTTGCTAAGGAATGGCTGAAGGAAGGCTTTAAGAAATTCGTTATTTTTGAAATAAATACATTTTACATTTCACAACGATGCCACCTTTCCCATAATAATGTATTTATCTCAAAAACGACGAATTTCTTGAAACAACTGAGAACGATAAAGAGTTTCTAATTAGAATCTTTATTTAATCTAAAATATTAAATACTTATGTAATTATTGATGTTTTTTCTGTAATATTTGTTTACTTTTTTCTTGTTCTATTGTTTTCTTTATAAAAGTTATATTCACAACATTAACGTTGTTGTAATAAAACTACAGAAGTTTATACTCTGATTTGTTTGCCAATCGGGACTTGCAGAAATATGTGCTTGAACTCGTTATAAAACAACCAGCGATTTCCTCATATTTTACCTTGTGACTCCTGTGTGATTCCTCAGGTTATTCTTTGACATGTGTACTCTAAGGATCAACGATTCGACAGGTTGCTATTCTTTCTAAGGTGCCGTGAACTAATCTGAGAGTTACAAAATGTGCAAAGTTATCATTCCTACTTGATGATTAAGGTGGTAGATTCCGCTATCTTGCATCTGACTTCTCTGAATATTTCGAAAAAAGCTAATTTAATATTTAGTTTGTGATTAACAACCTTCCTTGTCCAGTATGCAACACATTATTTCTACTGCTAAGTTTTTATGTATTTTAATTGAAAAATTAACTTTTAGTTCCAATCTTTGCTTCTGTGAAGTTAATGATAAAACATTAAACATAAAAGAAAGAATAATTCATTTTAAAACATTTGATGAGAGAAACCCGACGCTTAAACCGTCAGGTTGCATAACCTGACTACTTAAGCGTCGGATTTTTTTTGTTTATTCAGTCGCAGATGACTTATCCGACCTGACGGGAAAAGCGTCAAAAACCGTCAGGCTGGACTTGTATTTTAAAGGATGATTCATAATCTGACGTTTTAAGAGTCAGGTTATCTGATGGTTAAACCGTCAGGTTGAAATGATTAAAGCGTGCGGTTTTTTTACAGTGTGGAAAAATCGACGACGTGTTTCGTAAATAGGCCAAGCAAAAGAGAGGAGAAATAAACGATAAACATTATTGCATTTACGTAGAACAGAACTAACACAGATTATTCTTGAATGCAAACTGTATATCTTCAAAGGTGAATACTAGAAGTTAAAAGTTCAACGGAGAAAGCCACTGCAGGATACTTCATAAATTGGAAACAATAATTATCTAAATGGCAAGTGCCGCTGTGGAAATGAATAGAATCAAGAAATATGCGTAGAAAATGTATCAAAAAACTTAATCAATCATTATGAATCTATAACACCGTTTGAGGAGCCTGGGAGCTCCAGAAAACTTTTGGATTTTCACCAATTTTTAAGTTGATCGCTGTGATTAACATGTTCAAATGAGTATCACGTTCTAGAGACACGATGTTGTCAGCAATAAGTAACTATATTATTCTGCTGTATTGAAGACTGAAGGTTGAAGAGTGGGTCGCGGTCATCTAGTAAATTTTTTATCTTGTAGACAGATCACGTCAGTCAACCAAGGGCAGTCGGGGCTACGTTGCTTAGTTGGAAAAAAAGTTTATAGATTCACAATTTAAAGTGCCGAGAAACAAGTCGTCCTCTGAGTTGTGTGTGATTCTCGATTGATAAGAATGGAAGCCATCACCACTGTGTTCCTTATCTATGATTTACATAGTTTTCGAAGAATATTGCATAAGAAAAAGATGATTCGGATTTGTATAAAGTAGACTGCTGTAGTCAACAGATTGCAGACCAAATGAGTTGAATATCAATGACAATTGTCGAAATTAACCCATTCCCAATTCATTAAAAAGTTTTTGTTGAGCCAATTGACGCGAAGTGTAGAGAGCAAAATGCTGATTTCCATTGATTAGTTTTTAAACCAGTCATCGAGGCAGTATTGAAAGAGGAGAAAGAGAAATAAATGAAGAATTAGTGTATGATTAAACTGTTATACCTAAAAATATCACTGTAAAACTGTAGTAGTGCTACAGTAAAAGTAAAGCAATACAACAACTTTACTGCAACGGTTTAACCGCAACACTGTTATACTTTTAGTCTGATAAAGTCATACATTTACCCTGATATTATATCAGGCTTGGGACTAAAATATAATGACGACCGTGGCATCATCTCAAAGACGGAGATCAGTTTTCTGAATTTTGTGTGTAGTAGTCAGGGATTATTGTTGAGTCTTTGCCCTTTTTTTCTGGCATCAGTTACTTGATGGCATGAAAGACTACAACTCCCGTTTTTTTGCATATGTTTTCTCTTGCATGTTGCAAATAGACCTGTGCGCCACCGATGACTAATTAGGATTTTTGGAGAAGCCGTCGAAATTTTTATTGATGCTGAAAATACAAACGTGTTTTATCCTGCGTTGATAGAAAAAGTTTTGAAATTAAAAAAGTCATGAGAAATTAGAAAAACAGGAAGTTATATTGTAATTAGCCACATTCACATGAAGAGGAAGCTTAACCGTCGTATACGAACGCATATACACCATCGTATACATTATTTCTATACAGCTAGTTTATAAGCCCCAGACTTAGTCACAGTCTTGACCCAGAGATAAGTCTCCCTTCAGCTTGTGAAAAAACTCACTGTTTCAATACGCCTCTGCCATCTAAATCTTGTATCCACCGATTGAACAATTCTTTTTAGCCGCCGAAGGCGGAAAATCTTTTGAGGGGTCTCCGCCGCCGCGATGGATCGGAAAACTTGTGTTACTCACCGCCACCGATTTTCCAACTGGCGCACAGGTCTAGTTGTAAAACCGGTAGTGATGAATATCTGGTCTAGTGGTGGATTCAGGATTTTTCTTAGGTACATGCAGTACGTAAGGAAAGTATGAGGTACGTGCGGTCGCCATAGAAACGCAATTTTTTAAAGCAGTTCTACTGGGCAAAAATCATTCTTTTACTCCAGATGTATGAGCGATCGTTCGTACCACTTGCTGGCTGAATCCGCTAGAGATCTGGTCAATCGGAAAGTGATGCCACTATTTTACTATGTTTTTTTCATTAGGTTTAAAATCACATTGTTATTCTAACATTATAGTACTGGATGTCAGAGACTGAGTCGGGTCAAACTAATATGACTGGACCCATGTTCCTAGCCAAAATAAACTTGTATTAGTTGTTTTCTTTAACGTTATTTTATCTCTGTTTATTTTCATCGTTTCTTTATGTCTATGTTGCATACTCTAGTTTCTTTTTTCTTCTTATGTTTTTCTGTGTTATTTCTTTTTCTTTTCCCTATTTCATTTTTGTAGTTTGGCTCGAGTCATTGATACTACAGGTCGAAGACCTTTGCTAACTCTCACTTTTCGTGAATAAAACTAGTTCTAGGCTTATTCGAAATTTTTTTCTTGACTTGAATGAACTCCCAAAAAGTTTTTTGGTACCTATAAAAAAGAGGTGTAACTTTCGATTTTCGCAGAAAAACGCATGAAAAATTGAAATTTTTTTTGGTGACCCGAACGGGACCCAAAATATTTTTTTATTTGACCCAGATCCGACCCATTTCGGTCTCTGCTAGTTATTGGACTTCAATAAAGATGATGCTACACTTGTTTTAACAGTGTGTAGTCAGTTTATACCGCTGCTAAAAATAACGGGCAAGTGACGGTTAGAGAGTTACTTTCATAACTAAAGAATAATAGAAGACCTCATAAAATGTCAATAATTGTTATCTTGTTAGGATTCCTCTGTAACTTCGACAAAAATCTCTAAGTGGAACTTCTTAATACAGTATTATTGACCTGTTATACGTAGAATAAACGTGTAACGGGATTTCTCGCAATACTGATCAAGTATTTTGCGCAGCATAAAATATGTTTGGACGATGCTTTGACTCCCAAATAGTATTGCATAATTATTGAAAACTGTTTTAGACTAAAAATGTTTGCTCGAAATTCTTGTCGAGCTCTAGTTTATCGAAAATTACTGAATGAGTTACTCAAACGGAATCGTTATTTGTCTACAAATCAAAATTTGGTAAGAAATATAATTGACTCATACATTACTTAAACACATTCAACTGTTGAGTTTTTGTTGTAGGTTTCTTCGTTATACACTGGTCCACTAAGTTATATATCTTATTCATATACCAATCTACTGCAAACGACAATCAAGCGTAATTTCTCTTTATCGTCACTACTCAAGGCAGTAGTTACTGCGTCAAATATTGTACCATTTAAACTAGCCGATATTGGAGAAGGAATAAAAGAAGTTGAAATTAAAGAATGGTAAGTAAAATAAAGCCCTAATTTCGGAATTAGAAGATATTGTACTTAAAATAAGTATTAACGAAGTTTGCACTGGTTCTTTGTCCAAAACGAAAATTTATATTTTGAATTCTTGGTAAAAATATTAACTTATCATTTTAGGTATGTGAAAGTTGGAGATCATGTGAAACAATTTGATAAAATATGTGATGTTCAGAGTGATAAAGCCAATGTAACAATTACATGTCGGTATGACGGTCAAGTAATGAAACTTTATCATCAGATTAATGAAACGGCAAATGTTGGTGAACCATTGATCGACATACAACTCACTCAAGATGGTACACAACAATTACATCATACACGTAAGAAACAATTTTGTTTCTTGATCATTATGAACAACTTTTGTAGAAGTGACATAGCTCTCAAAGACATTATTTTTATTTTAGCTATTGTTCAAGATGATACTAGTGAAGATCGTTCTTCCTCAACATCAACGGGATTCACTCCAACACCGCAAGTACTTGCTACACCAGCAGTTCGACGATTAGCTAAGGATTTACAGGTGTAATAGATACGTTCTTATTCAAACTTATTGTTTGCTTATTTTTTTCTTAATTACAGATTTCGTTGAACGATGTGCAAGGTACAGGAAAAGACTATCGAATTTTAAAAGAAGATGTGCTGAATTTTGATAAAACAAAAGTAGGATTACCGTCAACTGGAACAACTACCGCTCCGCCAACAAGTAAATAGTTTATCTGTCACTTGGGAGTCATTAAAAGTAGATTATAAGAATTTTGTTGGTGTTTTTGAAAACTCCCTAGAAATGAGTACGAAAGCTGTTTTGTAATCCATCCATTCTGTAACTTTCTGAAAATATTTTTTCTTTTCAATTTTAGCTACTATTCAAACTCCGATGCCTATAATTCCTCCATCTCCTTCAACTGTTAAACAACCGATTGTGCAACCGCCAACACGTACTGTTGTGAGTCCCACTGCTACAGTTCAAACTCAACCGGCGAAAGAAGATCGTCATGAAACAATCAAAGGCATCAAAAAAATCATGGTTAAAACAATGACTCAAGCCAATACTATCCCACATTTTACTTATTGCGATGATTATGATATGACCGAATTAGTAAAATTACGAAAAAAACTAAAAAAATTATATCAACAAGAGAAGAAAACGTTAAAATTATCTTATATGCCATTTATTATTAAAGTATCACACACATTGTTGTTAATAAAAAAAAATTCTTTGTACTTTCACCGGTTTTCTTTTTACCTATTTAGGCTTGTTCTCTCGCACTAATGGAATATCCAATATTGAATGCACACGTCGATGCTAAATGTGAGACAATTACCTATAAGGTACGAACAATAGTCTGAATTTTTGCTCGTTTTTTACTTTTGTTCTATTTCTAGGCAGCACATAATATTGGAGTTGCAATGGATACACGTGATGGTTTACTTGTTCCAAATATTAAAAATGTGCAATTATTATCGATTCAGGATATTGCTTTGGAATTAACTAGACTACAGCAGCAAGGATATCAAGGAAAATTAACAAATGAGGATATGCAAGGTGGAACATTTTCGTTGTCAAATATTGGAGCTGTATGTGTCAATTTCTACTCTAAATTATAAATGAAGTTGCAATCTATTTTTATTTTTTTAGATCGGCGGAACATATGCTGTACCAATTTTAGTGATACCCGAAGTAGCTATTGGGGCACTAGGAAAAATCAGCGTAAGTAGCGTAGCTTATTCGTGATATTCGTGTCATCTCTTATCTCTCTGTTCTTTAGCTGAAACCGTGTGCACCCGAAAATTTAGATGACTCGTCTTCATCTAGTGACGATGATGAAGATTCTTACCCTGATGTTGAATTTCGTCACATGATGTCAATAAGTTGGTCAGCTGATCATCGTGTCATTGACGGTGCAACAATGGCAAGATTTTCGAATAAGTTAAAATCGTACTTAGAAAATCCCATGATGATGATGATTAACACTAAATAACGTAATGGTGAGTTAAATTTTTCATTATATTTGATATTCCATTGTTTTTTCCAGAGAATTATTTTTATTGTTGTTGATGTTTATTTACACTGTATTTTTACACACGTTTGCTTGTTTTTAGTATAGCCAAGTTAAGATATAAAACAGTGATTTTGTGTTATGACTGTGTTTGTTTTCTTATTCTTTTATATTATTAGAAAATATATAGTTGCTGATCATTTCTGTTGACTTCTACTTCCTTCAATTGTAAAAATGTTTGAACAGATGGACAATGATGTAAAAATGAAAGAGAACTAATTCTTGAACGTCTATAAGAAACGGAAAAAGTGTAAATCCCTCATTATAGAAAAAAAAAGGTACTCTTGCTCACAGTCGGACATAGGAAATGTAGTTCTAGATCAGCATGAAAAAGGTGAAATGCTTTGAATCTATTTATCTTGTAGATTTTGTTCTTGTTTATTTCAGATATAGAAGTTAAAAATGGATCTACATCTGTTTTGGATCTATTACTAAATGTGTTGTAATCAAGCATTCAATTATTCGGATGGCGGTGAAGTAGCGGTGTAACATTTTCGTCTTCATTCTAATATTTTTAACGTATCATGATCAAATTCCGATATTAATGTCAGTCAGTCATACTATTTGTTGTTAAATTTGTCTCATTAAGCTTAGTATATGATAATCAATATTTTCATTCTTGAAAAATTCGAAAAACGAGTTATTATATTATGTTATACATTTTCAAGATCTTCTAAACTGAAATAATTAATATTTTTTAACGTTCACTATGATAGTGTATTCAAAATCTTTACAACTAAACCTATTGAATTGATAATTAGTTAACAAAAACTTTTGCTAATAAACGGTGATGTAAAATAGACTCAATGGAATTTCAATAAACTTCAAATGGCTAGTACTGATTGGCGGTGTATAATGATGGACTGGAAATAAACAATTTATGTCAAATTCACAAGACAAAAAATTGACAAGTCTATTAGAAAACAATTATAGTCTTAAACAAACGAAGATGTTGTCTATATAAGTATTATACCCTCGTATGCGTAAAACTCATCCACCAGACTCATTCGTCCAGTCAAGTTGATATCGATGAGGCAGTCTTTATTAGGACTACGAACAAACTTTTGGAGGGTTGATACTGACGTTTTCAATTTGACGACGAACGAAACGTCCAGGTGATTCATATTCAATTTGACCTCATGATCAGTTTTTGTTGTATTATTAAAACATATGATAAAACAACTGGAACCGTTTTAAAAATCAATTCATTACTGATTGACAAAATATTTAACTAGAGCACGTATCAAATTAGATCTATGGAAAATGAAAATGGCGAGTCATACGTTAAAAAAATCATCACAATCTATGGGAAATTGAATAATGAACTTTATAAGTTTAAATATTTACAATGGATAAAAATAAACTTCATATTCGAAATTAAATGAATTATTTAGTCAAAAGAAAGCAATGAATTTAAAATACCAAGTCAAACAAGCAAATGGCTCTTGTCGGGTGAAAGTTTCATTTCTTTTATTCCGATAGATATTGTTGTATTGGAACACTCATCAATCGATATCCAGTATAATTAAATTAATTGATCGAACGAAAATTGAATATGGTTCAGTACAATCAACAAAACAACCATTAAGCTTGAACATATTTAATTTATTAAAACTTAACAAACTAACTCTTTATTTTCCTCTAACTACGAGAGTCCCTCCCTAACTTTTTGACTTTCTGTCCGGTTTTTGGTTATCATTTTCCATCATGGAAAAATGTTGTCCAACCTTTTCTTTTACGCAATGAGAGACTTGCCTAAGGGTCAAAACAATCCTTGTTACGCCATAAGTTAAAAAAAACTTGTTTTTTCGTTAATCACTCTTTCCGTCAAAATTTTAACTGTCTCTGCTGGCCAAAAAAACAATTGATATCCTTGATCGTATGGACTGATCAATTACAAATGGTGGTACGAACTGAATTTGGTTAAGGAACGTTAATGGTGAATCAAAATGAAAATTAATCAATTGCATTAGTTTTACAAGAAATACATGTTTTATACAAACTAACGTCTATCAATTCAAATGAACTTAATAAAAGAATAGTGCTTTGAATGTGAAAGAATTTTTATATTTTGCTTTGCTTATCTTCCGTCACATCTGTTTCTTAGAACTGAGACAAAGCCTAAGAAGTATTTTCTGTGATAGATTTTACACATGAAGAACAGTATAATGCTTAAGAGTTTCGTTCTCGGGTTCTTAGATATCTTCTTTCTTTTTCCTTGTTCATCCACCATAGTGAAAAACTAAATTTACAGATTTCTTCTTTAGTACTTTTAACAATCTGTTCGCAGAGGATGAATTTGTTGAGTCTGATAAAAAATACACAGCAGCTGACTTGTCTATACACTTTTCTTTGTTGTCTATTTTCATACTGAAATATTGGTGTTCATATTTCTCATTAATCAAATCTCTGATTCAAATATTTTTGAATTATATTTTTTTCTAAAATTTCAGTATTTATGTTTCAATGTCGTTAATCCGTTACTTTAATTAAAATCCATAGTTATTGTTTCTATTAAAGGTTTTTTTCTCTATACATCCCGAATACGATGGAAGAGATTGTATGATTAAACAGAATGAAGACATATATAGGCATATGTGCTTTATTTCTAGTGCTGACTGGTATTTTCTTGTATGAAAAATCACATGGCAAAAAGCAGAGAAAAAAGAGTGATAAGATGAAATAAGCATTTTCGTTCGCTTACATATTTTCCCCTATAGATAAATTCAAATTGATTAATATACCAGTGCTCCTAAATATTCAGTTTTGAACGGCATTCTAGACACTGGTATTTCAAAATGGGCAACAAAACAAATTCGATCTGAAAACTGTCTGATATTTTTGTTGAAAAGTAATATATTAGTGATATATTCGTTATATTAGCAATATATTCGTCCAAAGCTCTTAAGGCTAGATCTTAACCTCTAAAAAATATGCTAGCAAGCATTAAAACTCGGTGAATTATGTTCAGTTTCTGAGATCATACCTATCTTATAGTGTCACCAGCGTAAATATTAAGCATATTTTTTAGTTTAGATAATAGTTTTTATTTGTTTCTGTTCAATTATTCTCACAAAAACTATGTAAATTCCGTTTTTATTAATATTTTTTTCTATTTTTTTAATATAAGTTATGGTTGACATATTTAAATCTGCTTTCGATGCATTTGGTTCACGTTTTAATTCTGCACCGAAAAGCGATTTTACCGGACAAATTGTGGATGTTGGTACAATTCGATTACGAATTGGAAATCAAATCGCCGAAGGAGGCTATGCACTTGTATTTCTAGCTTATGATATCAAAACAAATAAGGAATATGCACTTAAAGTAAGACAACATTTGCCTTGACTAGATATGCACCGGTTATAGCCGATAAATTTCATCTTTTGTCTAAAACGAATTGCATGAAAAGTACGCATATTAAAATTGTTCTGACAACTGAGTTTTGTAGAGCAAACATAGAAAAATGTTTACTCGGCAAAACTCAGTTATTAGAAAAATTATAGAAAATTTTTTTTTAGCGAAAATAGCGCATAATTTCAATCGGTTATAACCACCGGTAAATGCCTAGTCTTGGCTAAACAACGTATACAATCATATTCATCTTGTGTTTTTGTTTAGCGTTTATTTGCCGCCGATGATGCTGCGAATAAAGTAATTGCACAAGAAATTGCATTTTTGGTATGTTTTACTTAATATGATTAACTATTTTCGTCAAATTAATGCAGAATTATTTCTCTAGCAAAAATTAAAAGGTCATCCAAATATCGTTGGTTATGTAGCTGCTGCCTCTAATCAAGATACTACATTGCGACGAACAGAATATTTACTTTTGACTGAATACTGTTCAGGTTAGTAGAGAAGAAAAAAAAGAGCGCCTGCTTCAGTATTTCATGAGATGTCTCTTTTATAACTAGGCGGTCGATTATATGAACGTACCGTAAATCGTCAAAAACCATTTGATCCAGAACAGGTGATTCAAATATTTTATCAAATAGCGCGAGCCGTACAACATATGCATCAACAATCACCACCGATTATTCATAGAGATTTAAAAGTAAATATAACATTTTTCTTTTTTATCTACTACATTTATATGCATAAATTTTTGTACAGGTTGAAAATTGTTTAATATCGGCATCTGGTTTCATTCAACTATGTGATTTTGGCTCAGCTACAACAAAAACGTATCAACCTGATGAAACATGGTCTACAAAGAAACGTGAATATGTTGAAGATGAAATGACAAAAGTAACAACGCCAATGTATCGTGCACCAGAAATGTTAGACACTTATTCAAATTATCCTATCAATGAACAAGTCGACATTTGGGTAAGAAATTTTGATTATATATAAGAATTTTTATACTATTTATTATTTTACTCTAGGCATTAGGTTGTTTATTGTACTACATTTGTTACATTCAACATCCATTTGAAGATTCAGCAAAATTAAGAATATTGAATGCTAAATACACAATACCGGCGACAGATACAAAATATATCGTGTTACATGATCTGATAAAAATGATGTTACAAATTGATCCAAGACAACGTCCAACAATTCAACAGCTCGTTGAGTCTATAGAAGATTTGGCTATTGGTAACGATATTGGACTGAATGAACCGTTGAAATTTTTATTTATTATGACGAACGAATCAGTTTCAGCAACATCACAAGCCCTACCTCAACATTATTCGAGTAATTCATGTAAGAGTAACAATAGTATAAGGGAAACTCTACTTGATTTCTTCCGCATGAAAATATTTCAAAATAATTGCGAATATATCATTACATTATTTTCATTTTAGTAATTTATTCTTGTATCGCATTCTATTGAAATCAGTTCTCTGATTTGCTTAACTCATATCCTTATCTTATCTAAATAAATTATCTGATAACAAAATGAGTTGTTTGAGATGTTTCAAAAACAAATTTAACCATATGGTTTACTATGTATAGTAAAATTCTACTATGTCACAGAAATAATATTTCAGAAAGGGGTACAATGCGAAAGCATTTCTTTTCAAAACTTTAAGAACAAACTGTAGAGACTTATCTGACCAGTTCAAATATATTAACATTCTTTGACTTTTTTACGTTTGACGATATAATAATGAAGAATTTTTAAATAAACTAATGATAAGAACACGCAAAAGAAGGTGTCAAGAGACGACACGGTGTAATCAAAAGGCCAGACTAACAAAGTATTCTTTCATCATTCTTCATTCATTCATTCATTCAATATTATACTAAAAGATATGTAAAAAAAGGAAAATTATGTCGACTAGTGGTAAGCAAATGTGCGATCTGAGATGATCGCAAGAATCGAATGGTTATCAGGTTTTGTTTAGCTTAATAACATGCATCTTTCTTGGTTTTAGTTGCATCAAATGTTTTTTCATCGTCTGCTGTTATCAACAGTTCGCCATCGTCCGTATCTTCAAATCAAAAAACTACTTCCTCTCCTCCATCTGCATCTTCTATTCAAACTCAAGCTCCAAATCAATTATTATCATCGTTAAAAGGAACTGGAAAGTCATGGATGAAAAATTTACTTGATACATCATCAAAAGTTATTACTGACGTGAAACAGTAAATAATTAACTATCTTATTGCTAAACATATCGCAGATGTTTGTGTTTTACCTTCTAGGTCATTAGCCACTAATGCACAAACGACTCGTGCCGGTGGTCAATTTGAAGTTGATCTTAGTTATATAACATCACGTCTAATTGGTATAATCCTTCTTTATTGCATCTAATGCTCATAATATTCTTATTCTGTTATTTCTCTCTAGTAATGGCCACCCCTCGTGAGACTGTTGATTTAGCTGGCAAACAATCGGTTGAATTAATTCGTGATTTTCTCGATACAAAACATCAGGAAAATTATCGACTTTATTCTGTAGAAAAACGTCGAGTTAGCTACAGAAAAGAAGTATTTCACGATAGAGTTGTCGAATATACATGTTTTGACGATAAATTGAGTCCAAAACTATCGGATTTAATCAAGTTCTGCTATCATGTAACCAATTATCTCTTAGAATTTCAATCAAATGTAGTCGTATTACATTGCGCTGTAAGTAGATATATTTTTGTTACCTATCTTTTATGTATGCTTTGTTGTTTTTATTCAAGGATGGTCGTAACCAATCTGCACTATGTTCATGTGCTTTACTGGCGTATCATGGAGTATTTTCAACGGTTGATCAATGTGTAAGATATTTTGAAACAAAAAGATGTGCACATCCAATGTTATCGTATTCACAAAAAAGGTTGTGAAAAACAACTCATTGGAGAATATTTTCTAACTTTATTGTTATTTGATTTAGATATATCCAGTATTTTTGTGATTTGTCACACGGTATTATCGAACGACCACATTTATTAGATATCAATTTAAAAACAATTAATCTATCACCTGTACCAACGTTCAATAGGGAAAGGTAATTTAAGAAACTTCAGCTCATGAATTGGAGCAGTGTATATTACTTTTGCGTTAGAAATGGTTGTCGTCCGTACGTTGATATTTATAATACTGAACAAAAGAAAATCTTTTCTACATATCAAGATCCAAGTCGAATAAGGTATGTACTGTACAAGTTACTTGTCACCTCCGTTTTAATTATCTTTCCTTTTAGATTATTTTCCACCACGGACGGTGTTTGTTTATTACCAATTGGTTTTACATTTAATGGTGACATTTCCATTCATATATCACATGCACCAGTGGGGATATCACTATCAGCACATGTAAATATCAAATTCATGGTTGTTATTAATTATTATTAATTGATTTATACCATTTATTTATAGGATGGTGGTATTCGTATATGTGAATTATCTTTGAATTCTAATTTTTGTTCATCGAATCATGCTGAACTATCATATTCAAGGTTAGTTATTTGTTATACTTGTTTTCGTGCATTCTATTCAAGACTCTCGCACACATTTCTAGATATGAATTAGATGGTTGTGATGCGACCGAGAAATATCCGCCATCATTTCGTGTTTCCTTAGATACATTAGGGGTGAAAAAACAGCAGCAGACAGAACAACAAGATCAACAACTTCAAGAGTATTTAGGGACTACATATAAAAAACCCAATTGTTTATTTCAAGATAGAAATGAATACCAACAAACGATCGATGACTACGGTAGGCGGAGATTTTTTTTTTATTTTGTATTCTGTGATGCGATATTTCAATGCTCTACTTCAGGTGATTCACATCCTGCGCACATACCTAATGATGAGAGTACTAGTCAAGTTATTTACCGTTCTCCAAAATTAAACATAAATGAGGAACCATCTTCTCCACACAGCAACAAAGGTTCACCGACAATAACACAACAAGTACGCGCATCGGTCTCACCCCAATCGCCAGGTTCTTTTGTTAATCCTCGACATAGTGCACAGCCATCAACACCTAGCGAAATATCAGGCAGCAGTGGTATTGCCCAACGGCCAAAATCAGCACAAATTCACTCATCAACAATGACCAATCCATTTCAAACAATGAATACTATAGGTAAAACATATATTCACTTAAACAGAGTTCAGTTCCTGTAATAAAAGTTTTTAACTGAAAAAAATTAATTTGATTAAAAATATACACTGTAGTCGTTTTGATACAAAAATGGATAATTTAAATTTTCAGCTAATAATGGACATGCGTTACTTTTATAAACGCATGTGGTTGGCTTTAGAAACGTTTCAGAAAGCAAGACAGGAATTAAGAGTTGTGTAACTCTAACAAATATCGAACAATTCATTAATGAATTTTTTCTATTTTAATTCAAGAACAAAAACCACTATTTGAGCCGGCTGTTGGCACCTTGCTGGATTTCGATCAACCTGCATCTCAACCACTACCATCATCTGTCGAAAATGAAACGATTTCACCATCTATATTTCCCGCAGCAGAGTTAGTAGAATCACAACACAAACAAGATATTTTTGAACGCTCAGTATCATCAACGGTCTCTGAATCAACAACGTCAGATGATGGTTTCGATATATTTACTCTTAGCACTAGTTCTACAACATCATTACCCCCAATACAATCCGAACAAGTTCAAAATGAACTACTTGGTTTCGATTTTAGGTAATCTTTTCTTTAAAGCCTGTTCTAGTCAAATATTTCCTTTAGTTTTAGTGGATTTAGTGGTAGTGGTGAAAAATTATCCACACCAAATACGCCAACAAATCAAAGACGCAATATTAATCGTGTCCCATCACCCATGAATGTACCATTTGCATCTGCCTCACTTCAGCAACCAACATTAAGTCGTAATGCTTCTTCAACAAATTCATTTTCAACTTTGCGAACAACACAAGAAACGGCAAATCAGCAACAACGCTCATCTTCAAATCAACAAATCAACCTTGATATATATGATCCATTTGCTTTCTTGAATATAACACAGTCACAAGCAAAAACAGCTAGTCAAGATAATATGTTCTCACAGCAACAACAACAACAAACAAAACCGCAAATGACAACGGGTATAGGAAATTTTTTGTTTATTCATTGAATTCTTGGAGCATTTTGTTGCTAATGTTTAGGTATAACAACAGCTAAATCACAGCAACCACCAACTCCGGTAAGTGCCGAAATACGCGGTCCAAATTATAATATCAATATGACGAATACATCAGCACATCAGAGTAAGCTTGTTGTTTACTTAGTAGTTGATATCTCAGCTGTGTTTGTTCCTTGTAGATGTTAATAAATCATCTGCTCCACCATCTCGTCCTCAACAATCCACGAATATAGATGACCTTGTTAAAGGTTTGGGTGGTAAAGATTTTGGCGCAAAAAGTACTGTAGCAAGTATTAAAGAATTAAGAAACGTTGATTTAACAAAAAATATTGATCCAACAGTATTAAGAGTAAGTAACCAAAACTGTCCAATATTGAGTCGAAATCATGACAATGGTTTATAGGTTCGTGAGTGGACAGAAGGTAAAAAGAAGAATATTCGTGCACTACTGTGTTCACTGAAAGATGTCGTATGGGAAGATTGTAAATGGCAAGGATGTCAAATGCATGAGTTATTAACGCCAGATCAAGTCAAAAAAGTTTATAGAAAAGCCGTTATCTATATACATCCGGATAAGGTAATGATCATGAACGTTTAGAAATCTTGTTCGGTTGTATCTGTTTGTCATTATAGTTGCAAGATGATCCAAATAAAGATTTAGCTCGTATGATATTTGTTGAACTAAATGAAGCATGGGCTCAATTTGAACAAGAAGGACAAAAGTCATTATTATCTTGAAACAGCTAATCGTCAATTATCGTGATAAATATACTAGAGCGATTTCTTTCCAGAATAACGATTTGCGATTGTACATTCCTGGTCATCATTCCACAAGTCAGAATAATAGATGAATGATCGATCTCTCTTTCTCTCTTTCTCTCTCTCTCTCTCTGTATTGTGCAATTAGTTTTCAATGTCAAGTTTATACTTCATATGCAAAAATGACCCTTCATATTGTACCATGTGCTTAGTTTTCTCACTATTTTTATTTGTTTGTTGTAATTTTCTGACCCAAGTCTTTATCCATTATGTATTTATTTCAAGAATAATATTTTTTCCATTACAGTGCGCCGTATATATCTATACAGTTCGTGTTTAATGAATAAATAATATAAAGAAAAACAGTTTGTATAGTATATGATTAAAATCTTAGATTAGTGATGAATGGTGGTCATGGTTCGACTTAATCAGAGCTGTACAAGTCAATCATTTTCAATTCATATTCAAGTTATGACACAACTGTCTGCCGCTTTACATGCTTTTCTCTCAAACTTGATTAGATTTCTTCTGCCACGATTATCTAAAAAGTCATCACAAAAAACGAGATCAAATGTGGAAACGAACAATTCATGATTCACAAAAAACCTTGCTTTAGAAAATATTGATCAAATTTTAACATGTGTACGAGAATTAGTTCAGTTATTGATTTTCTGACTTTTTTCCTTTCTGCGAAAAAGCAGAAAAATTGAGAACGCTAATGAGAAAAGTGTTTCGATCTGTCCTCAATGAATCAACGTCATTCAGGGACCGAATAATTAAGTTAATTTAGTATACAAATTTTGTTGGATGATTCACCATGTAAGGTTGTTAGATTTGCAACGATCATAGGGATTGTGCCTTCTTTTAAGACTCCGTCAGAAAACGCATATCGGTAACCGTAAGTCCGATCTAAATGAAAACATTCAAACAATGTAGGCCTGATGATTGTACACTTTCGATAAATTTTGGAGTTACCATCTATGACCGTTTCGAAGATATCGCTTGATAACGAATCATGTGAATCTGTTCGTAGCTGCAAAATTTCTCGGTAATCAAACGTTGTGGAGAGCTACGGATAATTCTTTATTGAAAAAAGGCATAGTTTTTCAAGGCTTTCAGAAAATTTTTCAAAAACTGTTCGAGAAACTTCTTAGATTATTATAGATTTAATGTCAGACACTTTCGGCTATCTGATCATGTACTTAGTTCAATATCGACTTTTTACAAAAAAGGTTCTATTTCTGACGGAGAAGTGGGAGTAGTCTTTAAAAAGAAAAAGTTAGTAATGATGGTAAAGGTGAAAAATGTTCGAATAGGTCATTAGAGTACTGCGCGAGTTGGACTCATCAAACTCAAACTCCAACACTCGACAATTAGTTAAAAGTTTGGGCTTTTTTGACGTAAAAAGTCCAAAAATGCTTATAGAATTGCTGTTTCCTGTTTGTTTTCTAAAAATATGCTGCAAATAAATATACTAAATGCAATTGTCTATAACGGTGATTCTACAAAGACAGCTGAAGGACTTCGCCAAGCTGATCAAGTATTTAGTTATTAACATGGACTTCGCCAATCAAAAGATGGTGCAACACAAGTTATTTTTCTTATAAGTAATGGAGAAAGTAATAATCTAGGTGAAACCATTCAGATTACATCAGCGTTAAAACAACGTGGTATACACATTGTTAGTGTTGGTGATAATCTTGATTTAGATGAATTACATGCTGTTTGTACAGAACCGTATATAGAAAATTATCTTCCAATAACAGCTTATGAGCTTTAGAACAGAAGATAAAGCACTTCACATCAGAGTCATGCACAGAACCAGTTGTAACTAGTTCAATCAATACAACAATTTCAAGTGAATGTAGTAACGATAAATATAAATTTATTAAAGTAAAAATAAAAGTTGATAAATTGTGAAGGAGCAGTTTGAATAAGAAATTTTCTAAAGAAGTATAATACTGCTACAAAGTGCATGTTTAAGAAACTCTAAAACTTTAAGTCTTGGACTTACGGTGTTTTATTCGAATCACCATTTTCAAGAGTGACATAAGAGATGTATTGTACAGATCAGAGATCGATACGGGCCGAAAAGTTTTTGCCCGGCCCGATGATAAAAGTTTCCGGACCAAGCCTGGCTCTGCCCGACCAAACGTGGAATTTATCTGGCCCGGTCGAACCAATCCTGGAACTTTCCTGGTCCAGCCCTGCCCGGCTCGATCACTTTTCAAAATTTTCTTGTCCCAGACATGATTTTTTTCTTGCATCTGTAATGCTTTTGCTGGCTAAGTGGTGTAAATGTATTTCTCAGGCTAATATTAATATCTGTATGCTTTCTTGGTTTTCATTTTTCAACCTTTAAAAGCATTACCTAAACTAAGTCATTAGATGCCGCGAAACAATGATAATACTCTTTCTCGGTACTGGGTATACGCGTAAATTACAAATCCACGCATGCTTAAAAAATTTTGAGTTCGACTCTACCCGATCATTCTATAAAATTTTATGACCCGTGCTGATCTCTGGTACAGATATCTATAAGTAAAAATAAAGAACAGAAAAGGCAAAATGATGTAAAAAAATTCTTCAGATTGTTTAAAGGAAAAGAATAATACCATGTGACTGCGCAATCATATGGTATCATATGGTAAAAAAATAAATAAAAATAATAAAGTGCTATGAGCCACTGATTAAGAGGGTCCACGTAAATATAGAATTCTTGTCCTCTCCATTATTCTCTCTACTAAGTCCAAACCGAATTTATTTTCTATTGTACAATACCGAGAACATGACGAAATATATCAAGGAATCGGCTAATCTTCAAGATATGCTTAAATCAGTGAGAAATTAGCGTTTATCTACTTCTGGTTTCATACTTTTTTCTCCGTAAGAAGCCTTTTTATTGGATTAATTAAACAAACTAAATCATTACATATCATTATTATTTATTGTAGTTTATCATTTATTGAGTTATTAAATGAAGAAGATGATTACTTTGCAAGGAAATAAAGGTTGTCGATACCAATAAGCCAAATATTAAAAATTTTAAAACTATGAAAAGTATGAACGATGATGCATAATGTGTAATTAGAAACGTATGCTATTCATAGAGTTTACACACTTGAAACATGAAAGATAATCTTAACATCTATAAGTACAGTCGATAACGATGGGAAAAGCTACAAAAGCACTCTTTTTAAAACATCACCAAAACTTGATTAGAATTAGCCACAATGATTAAAAGCATCGAATAACAAAGAGAAATCTGACTGAATTCAACTTTCACTCCTATTTCCTTTTGCAGATGTTTTCTCCCACACGTAAGAGGATATCCCTTCTACCTACAGGGCTAAAAGCGAAGAAAAAACGGTTAAAATTACTGTATACATAACTCCACTAAAGCTTATCCAACCCGCGAGTTATTGCAACCCCAGATCCTTGGAGGTGTTCTCTACAAACTGACAAAATTTGAGGGTATGTTTAGGGGGAGAGGAAACACCCCCTTAAGCTAACTTTTTTTCAAAAAAGAGAAAAAAAAAATTTTCTTTAGTCTATAACATATACGTTGTGTTAACACATGCTCCATAGATTCAGGTTTTGTATTAGATGCATCTGATAGTATAGGATAAATTTAGATAGACAACTTTGATTTTTCAAGCAAAATTTGTCGAAAAATTCGAAAAAGATTTGATTTTTGTCTAAGAATTCCGAAACAAAGATTATTCAATGCAGGTGTTAACACTGATTCGAAATATGACGTTGACTTTGAGAAAAAATTGAAATTTGATACTTGCGGACGTACGCGATCCACGGACAATAATGAATATACATCGTGTACGCGGAGAAGCTAATGTGGACAAGCTAACGCAGACAAGTGAAATGATGACTAAGTATACATTAGCGCACTCCCAAGCACACATCTTAATCCAATTAAAAGAAATCAATGAAAACGTACACACTCGAGGCATGGATTTCATACAGCCCCATCTTAGTCTTTCAGGTTTGAATGGAGGAGTTGCACTTTAGACGCAACGTTTGCGCTGATTTTTTAACTGGAAAGAAAGATTAACCACTAGTACACTTTTTCATTCATTTATTTTCTCTCCTTTACTTTGTTTGTTAAATGTTATAATTGTGACAAGGTTTGTGTCTTGGTAATGATATGTGAAATATCGAAACGTCGACATATTTAACTAAATAAATAATCAATTATCACTACGGTTACACTACGCAAATAATCACGATTATAAAGATAATTGCGATTAAACATTTTCTAGTGTAACCGCAATTTTTTTGGATCATGATTAACGATATTTAATCACGATGAACAAAATTGTGTGTAACCGCACTAATGACGATTAAAAAAGATAATCGTGATTTAACTCGTACCCATTACTATAAATGCTCAGTGTGTAGGAGAGAATTCATTTTTGTGTTGACAAGGTTAAAGTGAATACAGTAACACTTTTTAATCTGATCAATAGATTTGTTGACACCGACTGCTAATAAACCCTTCTTATACTTTTTTCCCGGTGTCACGATTCCGAAGTCTAGCCATTTCATTCGATATCTTTTCATCTTTTAACAAATTTAGCAACAAGTTTGTTTCTTCCTCAGATTACCACGATCTTTTCTCCTTCGTTTTATTCTTGTAACTCTGCGTAGTCATTTTTAATAGAAAAATTATTATTAAAAAAATTATTATTATAAAATTGTTAATTAATTATTTATTAATCTGTAAAAGAGTATAGTAATGCCAGAAAAATTCTTCAGTAGGCAAAACAATGTTCAGCTGATTAGTTATTGCAGTTGAGCAGTCATGTGTAAGCGCCGCTATCATGATCCATTTTTCGATAGAGACGCTTAAAATTACTCACGATTAAAGATAATCATCTTCCGAGCATGATTATCTTTACTCATGATTTTCCAAATAATCGTGAGTAAAGTAGCGGTTACACTACTAGTTTAATCACGATTAG